CCTCTTCGGGAAGAATGACTGTTAGCGAGCCTGACTGTATACTGATTGAAAAGAAGATGAGAAAAGGGGGTGTGGTACGGTCTGAACAGCCGACAGTCTGAACTTCGTTCCTCGACACCGAACGCCAACTAATACCACACAAACTCCGGCCAATCGTTATTTTAAAAACAATGTTACTCACAGTTTGTGAGTACCACTTTATATGTGATTGTTTTAAGTGTGCGTGTGCACAGATGTGTATGACGCACGGGCATGTAAACAATAAGGTTTTCAAGGACATTGCCTAGTATCCGCACTGAATAAACCGATACCCGGGGACCTCCGGTGAGCAAAAACGGGAGTGCGTAACGAGTGTAAACCATGAGTAACTTCCTTGGAATGACTTCCAAATAGAGTAGCAAATTGGTATATCACTGGAGCAGTTCACCGTTATGCTTTGGTCCGCTCACCTGCAGTGGTAGAAATTGGCGGACGCAGAGGTATGCGAAATCTTTAGAAACTGAATCGTTAGGGTAACGAAACAAAAGACTGATTAAGCACCGGAACAATTTGTTTATTGCCCTGAGTTTTCGAACTCATGCAAGACTTGATCATCAGTAATAATAGGGACAACGGAACAGGTGGCAGTTATAGGGGAATACTAGCCAGAGAACTACCACAGCCGCAGGTCTGGAGATAACTGCGCAGGGCATGCGATGAAATTAAGAGCGCGCTCAAAGTGGGCCATCTCATGAGATTTTTCGAGTTTTGACAAAAAAGGCGCTTCGCATTTGCGGGAGAGGCCTATGAGCAGAACAGGGGGACTCCAATGGGCTTCCCAATCTCCGGAAGAATATGCTTCAGAAGTCCGATGACCCACTTCCCGGAAAAAAGGAGCAGTAGCTGCTTTTCCTTGATATGCTGGTCAGGCGAATTTCCAGCGGCGAGATATAAACGATGGTTTACAGGAAGACAACGAACAGCAAGTAGCTTCTCATCTTCACAGAAATCATCCAAACATCATCATCAAATCATCAAACAGGTCTAGATTCACTGCAGCAACTGGAAAGAAAAAGCACGCTAGGTCTGATATTCCTGCGACTATCAGAGGATATTTATGCCTACGTCTTCGCTCACAGACGATCCAAAAAAAACAGCACCAAGGCTATGGCATGCTCTGTGATGCATTATGGACGTTTCGAAGGCGATTAAATGCATTGCTGTGAGCCTAGATGCTGCAATTTTTAACTGGCTTGAAATTGCCCTGTGCAGCAAACTTGATGTAACTCAAGGATCGATTTAACTCCTACCCAAACTGCCCATGTAACTACATAGGTCAGACTAGGCACATACGTGAACATAAACTGGCTGTGCGACAGGACGAAGAATTCTCAGAAGTAGATGCTCACAACCTCAAAACGGATCACGAGTTTAACGTTGCAGTCACCGGGTCGGAAGCAGGAGAAGCCGACAGTTTATCGATATTCAGGTGGAGTTCTCCAAGGGTCTATATTATCCCCTCATCTCTTCGCCCTCCACACTGATGACCTACGATCGCGAAACGAATGTTTGTTTGTTAAATATGCTGATGATATGGTTGTTAGCATCCTCTCAAAAGTCAGATACATCTCCAAGTACTGGAGGATGGCTTGGACCACGTCTCAACATGGTCGTCAGCAAATGGCCTTCTACATAACGAGCGGAAGTCAGTCCAGTGTATTTGTCGACTGCGACCTTATCCCGGTCCTGAAACTATTGACATTCTGCCAAACGAGGTACCTCTTTCCGGTACCTTGGTGTTACTCTGGCATCTAACCTTACATTTGTTCTTCATATAAAAGGCCTTTTTATTAAAATCCTTAAAATTTTATATTATATCTGCTGCTTGCGTTCATATCACACACCGCAAGCCCTAATCTGGCGATTTATAGATGC